GAGGATCTTGAGAAGGCTGGAATCACAGTCATCCAAATTGATGAGGCTGCTTTGAGAGAAGGATTGCCATTGAGGAAGGCTGAGCATGCTTTCTACTTGGACTGGGCTGTCCACTCTTTCAGAATCACCAACGTCGGAGTCCTGGACACCACCCAGATCCACACCCACATGTGCTACTCTAACTTCAATGACATCATCCACTCCATTATCAACATGGATGCTGATGTGATCACCATCGAGAACTCGCGATCTGATGAGAAGCTTCTGTCAGTGTTCCGTGAGGGAGTTAAGTACGGTGCTGGAATCGGGCCCGGTGTGTATGACATCCACTCTCCAAGAATACCATCCATGGAGGAGATTGCCGACAGGGTCAACAAAATGCTTGCAGTCTTGGAGACCAACATCTTGTGGGTGAACCCTGACTGTGGTCTGAAGACCCGTAAGTACGGTGAGGTCAAGCCTGCCCTCGAGAACATGGTTACCGCCGCCAAGAAGCTCCGAAGTGAGCTTGCCAGTGCCAAGTGAGAGAAGAGTTTGGGTATGAGGATGAGGTGAAAAATTGATGTTGCAGTAAAGAAATAACTGATTGTTGATGATTTGGGTAGGTTTTTCCATATAGTGGCATCTGCTTGTTTGGGGATGTCATTTTGTTTAATCTTGTTTTTGTGGCTTTTTGTTGAAAATATTGTTGAGGGCTTTTGCATACCTCCATTCAGTGAAAATCTAAAGAAAGATACAATTGCTATCCATTCCATCCATACATTGTCGATTAAATGAGCGACTAACACACCGAGTAAATAAACCATAATCCATTATACCAAATTTGACCCACTTTTGGTCATTACCAAGCTTTACTGACCCTAACCAGACCAAAATTGCTCTAAATGGTCCTCCAATTCTGGCTTTATTGGCTCCTTGTAAGGACCGATTGGGCTTATAAAATTCAATTTCTTAAGAATGGAATGGAGTAGCACCGGTTATGGTCCTTGTATAATGGATTCAGGGCCGGTGTCCCAAATGTGCTTCTTTAATGGAATGCTAATGCTAACGTTGTTGAATAACATTAGTACTTATATTAACCTTTTTTTATTTTTTATTTACATATTTTAAAGGTTACATTTTGATTTTCAATATTTTATCCATGATGTTCCAAAAAACAGAGTTTATATCATCATGATTTTCCGAAACAAAGAATTCATTGAACAACAATTGCGACAGCACAAAGTGGTCGCCTTGATTCAAGTACGTATATCAAGTATATTGATTATTAAATTTTTTTTTTTTTTGGAAATTTGTATGATATTTATATTTATACATGTCAAATGAACTCATCTTCATTGACGTTTGAACTCCTAACATCTTAAGAGACTAAAAGCCTAGATACCACTAGGTCGAACGACTTCTAGTTAATTAAATTAAATTTTCATTTATAATTGTTCGACATATCACATATGGTTGGATTAATCGTTAACACTATACTAGTTTTGAAATTTCCAAAACTGCCCTTTCTTGGTTTTAAATTTTATGTTGTCACAGATGAAAATAGTCTTGTATCGCAAGGGGCCATCGGTAATATTCAAATTAGCATCGCCTATCTTAATTTGACCCTTTTTTGGTCATTACAAGCTCTTTCAAGCCTTTTAACGACTAGCTTGACCGAGCCTAACCAGGCCAAAGTCGCTCTAAATGGTCGTCGAATCCTGACTTTATTGATCTTTCTAGGGACCGATAAGGTTTACAAAATTCAGCCAGATCGATTTTTTGAGGATGGACCAGCCCAGTTATGGTCCCTGTATGATGAGTTTTGGGCCACTGGCCCAAATGTGCATCTTTAGTACCTTTTAGTAGTTAGTTAGTAGTGGGACTCTCATATTGTCAAATAAGATTTTTATATTAATTACTAAATTTAATTATTTTGGAAATTTATATAATGTTTATATCTATATTTGTCACATGAACTTCTACATCTAACTCATGTTTATTAAAGTTTGAAAAGCCTCAATACCATTACGCTAAATGACCTCTTATTTATTAAATTTAATTTTCATTTATAAATGTTCAACATATGGTTGGATCACCTATTAACATGACCATAATCTTGAAATTTCCAAAAATGCCCTTTTTGGGTTTTTAAAATTTAAGCCGTTGTAGATTGAAATAGTTTTGTATCGCAAGGGGTCATTGGTAAAATACAAATTAGCATCACCTTTTTTTTATTTTATACTTTTTGTTATTTGGTCTTGTATTTTTAAAGTATATTCTTCAATTATAAAATTGACGGCAAGAAAATGACAGAAAAACCCAAAAAATGTCGTGAATAACAATTTCATTGTAATTTTGTAGATGTTAACAAGAAAAATATATCACCATAAATAGACGCTTTTACAATTTCATTAATCAAACTGAAGGCACGAACATCACATATTTCAATCAAATAATTGTGATTTCAAGAATCCGAAGACAAGCAATGGCTACCTTTACCCACATCGTTGTCGTTTTTGTCCTTGCAGTTGCGGTGCTACTTCCGTCGACCACCATAGCAACTGATTACGTGGTGGGAGACGACAGTGGTTGGACGACGAATTATGATTATCAAGCATGGGCCAAAGGCAAAGTTTTCCATGTTGGTGACAGACTAGGTGAATTCTTCATCCTCGTTTATTCTTTTGATTTCGAAAAAAATGACTTTCTTTCGACACTAATTGCATCATATTTTTTTTTTGATTCAGTGTTCAAATACCCACAAGGCGTGCACAACGTGTTCAAAGTGGACGGCAGTGCATTTGCTAGTTGCACTGTTCCGTCACCGGGCACCGGTCTTACATCCGGGAACGACGTTGTGACCTTAATGACCCCGGGTAAAAAATGGTACATTTGTGGTGTGGCAACACACTGTGCCGACCTCAACCAAAAGTTGGTCATCAATGTCGATGGAGGATGGGCGGCACCGGCACCCGCACCAAACAGTGCAACCAAGTACGGATATAAGAGCTTCATGGCCATCGTTGTTTTGGCAGTATTCCTCATGTTTTAATTATGATATGTACTTTTATTAATTCAATTCATGTAATAATAATATGGCTCTTTGATAGGCCATTATGGAACAAATATAATATGAGTTACTAGCAAAACGTTCTGATTTCACCCTATTTGATCCAAACTCATATATAACAAAATTAACGTTCTAATAGAATTACACCGACATGATATCAGATCTATCAATAATTATATGAAAAATCCAGCCTGACGTGAAAAAGAGTCCGTCATGAGTCAATACTAGTCTTGCTTGTTAACGCCATGATCGAGTCTCTAAAATCCCCAACTGGGACGTTCTCCATGATCGCATCTCTCAGATCCATCCCGTATTTATTCTTGTAATTTTTTCTTATCTTGTTCATATCGATCTCACTCCGACTCATCATTATACGTTCCAAGTCACCCTCATCGTTTTTTCTTCCTTTAATACTCGCTTCTAATTCCTGAAATTAACAGGAAAAAACAGACATATAATCATATACAATACTGAATACCGTTTTATTATACATATTATCGAATAAAGCAATCAGATAAAAAAAACCCTTTATTCCAATTTTTTTGTATTATTTTTTCTATATTTTATTATTTCTTAAACTAAAATTGGAATATTTCTTTTAATTTAAATTAAAATTAAAATTTAACTTTTACTTGAAAAGCAAAAGGATAAAATTGGTCACCTTTGCATAATATTTTGGTGGATTGTTTAGAAACTTCACCACAAATTTCAAGGCGGCTTCAAATTCTCCATCATATTTATTCTTGAAATGCTGCAAAAACACACACAAAACAAAGAAAATAAAAAATCACAAAAAAAAAACCATTTAATTGGGTCGTTACACGTGTTCAGTCACCACACGAAGTACGCCACGTGTCCGAGACATTCACGAGATATTATCATGAATAGTGTAAAAAAAACCACGTTCATTATTCATGATGGATGAGGACAAATAGGGATATGTCGTTTTCCTTTGTCTCCTAGTTCACATGAATCCCTGAAGCAGAATAACATCTTTTTACCTGAATAGACTGCTAACTCGTATAGCTGATTGTTCCTCATCAGTGGTTTTAGCATGTATTTCAACAAAAAAACAGGTTTACAACTGAACTTTCTTCTACTGGTTAGTCGTTAATTATGACATAAAGATTTTACCTTTGTGTAACTATGGCCATAAATATGCTTATAGATTGAGAAAGTGAGGTTGAGTTGTGGAATGCTTCTTTTACTTAGAATTTCCAACACAACTCCTTCATCAATCTTGAACCCTCCAGGTCTTGCTTCACCAGTTTGAAATAGCCTTTGGGCATCACATTTGCCAATGTGTACACTAACTTCTGCACTATGAGCTTTTTGTGATGCAGCCAATGCCATTAACATCTGTACACAAAAAACCCACTTATAATCAACCATTTCCCATCTGGGTTTCTACTCTTATGCATTAGAGGTTGTACCTTTGTGTACAACACTTCATGCACCATGTACAACTACTCATGCCCAAAAAAGAGAAAGATCAAGAATTCAAGATTTTAGCAAGACTGGGGAACTGGGGCTTGTAATCAATTGTTTCTTACATGGGTTTGTATTGCTATGTGAAAAGTTGCACTTTTTGTACTTTTGACTGCAACAAATTCAGGTTTACAGGAGAACAAAAATGTCCTAAGTGTCATAATAGACGCTTTATTTATAGGACTAACGTATATAAGATCATACACTTGTGTCTCATCTAAAAATGTTGTAATAAGATTATGCGGCACTTTTGGACGTCGTAACAAGCTTTCTATGACACTTTTGAAACTAAGTGTCTTATTAGCCCTTTTATATGATACTATTTGAAAAAATGTGTTAAAAGTTGTATGTTTCACAAGAAAAGAAAGGGTTACCTTTTGGAAAGAGTGTGGGGGTTCAATGCTCATAACATCTTGGTCCAAATGCCTTCTAAATTTGGTTTGATAAGCTTGTTGGATGAGGAAAAAATGGCTTGATTTCCTACCAACATAAATCTCAATGAGAGCCTTGTAGTTGACACTACCCCTTTGCTTAAAAATGGCATTGTTAGCCACGATAGCGTCGCGTTCATGCGGGCTAAGCATCAGAGACGACAAGACCATGCATGTTTTTGATGCCTGACCATCAATCTTGTTTCGTAAACGATCAAACAAGTCTTCACCATACATCTCCATGTATCTTTCGCGGGTCTTCTGGCATTCGTGTTGCGTCAATTGACCAGCGAAAACACGAACCAAGAGACTAAAATTGCCCAAAGAACCATGGATTTGCTTGCAAATGTCTTCAATTGAGCTTTGGCTTAATGGTTTTGCCATTGTTGGTTAAGGTTCAATGAAAATGTATGTGTTATATATAGAAAAGTGATGACTTGGGAACCAAGGGTGTGGTCTCATGGTCCACTAAGCATATTTTAATGGTCACTTTTCTTTTCTTTTTCTTGATAAAAGTTGGGTGCTTTTTGTATTTGGAAGGTTCCTCCTTCCAAGTGGGTCAACCATTGAGCAAAGAAGTAAAAAATTATTGAATTTCTCAGGTTCAAATTCAAGAAGGAATAAAAACCTCCTTGTGATCATGGAGATTCAAATACGGTGACTCCGGACTACCTGCAAAACAAGTAGTTGTCCTGAGATTAGTCGGCTCGCATAACGGATTGGATATCCAAGTTAATAAAAAAAGGTATTGAATTTGATATTGTTATATATTGTAGCTTAATGGATTGCCTTGTAGACAATGAGTATGAAATTGACCCAAATCCTATGTGGGATTTCTTTGGTTGGGTTTGATTTTAAAAGTCGGTCATAAATTGTTTAAACGGTTAGAAGTTTTTAAAAAATATATCAATAAGGGGGTGTTTGGTATTGCTTATAATAACAACTTATTGACTTATTCAAGTGTGACAGCGTTAATAAGCACGTTTGAGTGTTTGGATAAACAACTTATACCGGTACCAAACCAGTAATAAGAAGTTTTTGAAGAAGTTAAATCATTCTAACTTTTAATAAGTTGATAAACACTTTTGTAGAAAAACAAAAGTTGTTTCAGGTAAGCAATCCCAAACACCCCCTTATCTGGTTTCTTTAGACTTAAAGAAGCTACATCTTATGTTCGATCAAGGTACACCTGTCTATTAATTTTCTCTTCATATACATCAACATCAAGACTTTTTATATTTTCAGTATATGATTTGATTTGATTCTAACATAAATAGATCAACACCTACTGACAAGATATAATACCGAAGGCATTGTTAGGTATGAAGTATGAATGGGTGGATGTGTATGCAGTGTGATCCGTAAAGGATGGAATAAAGGTACTTTTTGGTGAAAAGTGTGGTGATGTCTAGAAAAGAAATAGCCTACATGACTTAAAAGTTGAATCTGACTCCTTTCTAACCAAATTCGTAAAAATTAACAAAAAAGCAGTTGATTTCTATAAAATATTATCGATATCTGGGATTTTTATGTATGATAAGCGTGCTGCGGGTCCACATGAATCCCATTATGTTTAGGGATGTGTAGCGCACATGGATCACCCAACTTTCAGTTTTTTATCTTTCACATAAATAGATAAAAAAGAAGTGATTGACGTTTCACAAAAGAAAAGGATCCCATTTTGTGTTACGTAATTGTTAAGAGTAGACATTGGTCTATAGATTGATAATTGTCGTAGGTTTCAGTAATATGTTGATCCGTATTTAGGTGGTGATAGGTGATACCATAATTGTAACACCGTGGTTATAAAACGTCCAATTAACCCATAATCACCAAAAAAATTAATTTTAAACCTCCAAAACATACGGGGTACAAGTTTTAGTTTAAAACCACCAAAAATGATCAAACGGTTTGGCCCAATAAAGTCAAACACGACCAAAATTATTAATTACTTACAAACAGAATAAACCTAAACCAACCGGGATATGATATAACTATCCGGAATGATTAATATATATATATATATATATATATATATATACATGCCAAAATATTAATAAATAAAAAAAAAACATCACAAATCATGTACCAAAAACTAGATCAAGTTCTTCAACTTCAACCGAATCAATTATTCCACTAGATCCTTTCCCTTGTCTAATTCTTTTCCTGAAAAAGAGATATGTTGGAGAATTTGGATTAAGCACGGGGATTAATGAATTAAATGAACAGAACAAAGAATATTAGCATTATATATATATATATATATATATATATGTTTGAAGAGAAATTCTTGTTTGTATCTTGATCAGTTGATTGTTATCTATAATCATATACTCATCTTCTGATACTCAATGAAATTTAAAATGGGTTGATTCAATTTTGCTTTAGATAGCAAACAGAGCGAGAGTAAGCTCGAACTTAATGGTGCTAGGCAAGATTTGATCTCGACGTAATAGCTTTGACGAGTCTTCTTGAGTTTGGGACTAAAAAGTTTCGAGCTTGATTCAAGAGGTTGAAAATATCTACGAAAACATTTAGTAGAAAAAGAAAGCTTCAATCGCTTGAATGTTTTAATAAATTGGACACTAGATTTAATTTATTACGTAAAATATTTGGGATTTCCTTTTTTCACGATTTTGGTCCTTGGACCAAACAATCGTCCATGGGATTCGTTAAACTCAAAGAATAAAATGACATTTTTTTCTATTTTTTTGTATTTTAACGGTAATTAATATTTTACTTTTTTCTTAAATCTTACAAGAGTCCAACCTTCAATAAACACTAACGCTTGACAATCTAAACCCAGATAAGAAACAAAAAAAACAAAATTGAGTCTCAACAATTATGATATTATTACTGAACTTTTTCTTGGTCATTGGCTTCAGGGTATGATTTTGGTTTTTTGATGAAGTTGAATTTAGGATTAGAATTTATTGTTGGTTTAGGTTTAGAGTTTGTTCTTTTTTTTGATTAATCAAGATATCCAACCCGTTATGCGAGCCGATTAATTTTAGGATGACCACCCACTTTGCGGGTAGCCTGAAGTCATTGCATTTGAACCAGATTTTTATTTCTCATTGGATTTGAATCTGGGACATTCGGACACTATTGATCTTTGAAAAGCTCAAGCTCAGACCAATCTGTAACATCCCAAAATTTCTTGAATACTTAAATATAATAAAACTAGTATCCCAAGATCAAACACTTACATTGCAGTGGAAATAAAATTTCTAATCTTACAATTTATATCACCATCTAAACTTAAAATCTTGACGAACATATTTTGTTCGATATAACAATGTCTTGATCTGCACATGTCCTTCTTTGATGTTAATCCTTATTTCTCTCTTTATCCAACTTTTCTTTTCAGTCTAATAGCCGCCTGGGTGAAAAAGTTTTAAAAGAGTTTTGGGTGAGCCTTAGGCCTAGTGAATCCACGGTTTTCATGCATGAACAACAATTTTTGCGATAAACAATTTTCACGAAGCTTCATAAATTATCATGCATTGATGAGAATAATACTTTTCACAAAATAAAGATATTATAGTGCGTGTCTACATCACAAAGCAACAACGTCATGGGAGACGTCTACCTCACACAGCATTACCTGGCGAACTCACACAACATGTCCGCACTTACGGCTTAGACAAGCTCACAAAGCATGTTCGTCTTTACAAAATCATACCGTAGTACATCCCCATTGACACACAAGTACTCAAAACACATATTATAAAATATCGAACTTTTCACGCATATATAGCATATCAAAAATCTCGAGAAACTTCAAACAACTTTCGGATAATAAGGCATGCAACCATTTTAAAAATAAATCACGTGTAACTCACCATACAGGTCATAACTCCAAACCGTTCCTCGAAGTTCCTCATGTTCTCCCAAAAAACACATCAAACTTGTTGCGCTTCACCAAATCATCCTCATCTTTCACCTCTCTTATACAAGTTTCATTCTCCGAGAATTTGTCATCTCTATGCTTGAAGATCTCCCCATATATATTCTTAGTCATCGGCGGTTTCACGGAATATGAAACGATAAGCCAAGATTAATGGCCGTAGGTTTCATGACCATTAATTGGGTTTTCTGACATTTAATTATATTCAATTTTAGAGTTTAAACCCTTCACTTTGATCGCTTTACACTATAAGTCCTTGAAATTTAACGACTACCAATTCCTTTTTTTTTTTTTGGTTATTTCACAATCGGACACCATCCTTAATGTTCTTGGTGAAGGTTTTGATGGAGAAAGATGACGAATCAAGAAAAACTAAAAGAATTAATTAAAAACCATTAAAATGCTGGCAAATGGCAAGACCGTTTTACCTTCAAGTTTAACGGATTTAATGGACAAACGTTAGAAAAAAGGCCAAATCCAGCAAAAAAGTGCAAACTTTCAAGTATTTTATGTAATAAATGAAATTTAGAAACAATTTAGTAAAATCTACAAACTCCAGGGACCAAATCTATAACTTACAAAATAATGAAATATAGCAGATTAATTAAAGGATGAAAGTGATTCAGTTTCAAAGATAAAAGATATTTTAGAATTTAAGAATAAGATTTTATTAAATTATAATTTTTAAATTACCATTATTTATATATTGTTGTCTTACAGGATGCCTTAAAAACCATCATGGTTTCGTCGTAATTCGTAAGGCTTGAAGATACATCTCACGTTATCTAAAACTTTGTTAAAAATACAAAAATAATTTGATTGGCAGATACTTAACTAATTAATTAATTTTAGTTTGATTGTCATTTAATAAAAATATTGTATTTTAATATACTAGAAGCGTACTCGCGCAATGCAGCGAGATACATCGTGATTTTAATATTTCATTTTATTCTTTATCGCAGTCGATGTTATAATATGGATTTATGTAATTTTGAGAAAGCGATGATGTTTTTATTTTTGAATAAAATATATGTTTGAAGATATCATAAAAATTTGATAAAAATATATCGATATTAATATCAAATTAACTAGTTGAAATTCCTCATTTTTTTGTGTAATTTTTTAATTCAATTCTTTTATAATTTAATTTATGTACAATAACGAATTAATTTATATTTGGTTTAATAATATAATTTTTTTAACAAGATAATAATTATTTATTTTGTTGTAACTCGATAAGTATTCTAATTATATTTTGATTTTTTATATTTTAAAATGAGATGTTCATTCTCTATTTGAATATGTTTATCCGCAGTTATTTATACAAATTCAAACATCGAGCTTTAATAAGTTGTACTTATGCATAATTACTTGTAATCTTGAATTTTAAGTAATATGCATCAATATACAGTACTTTATGCATAA